CCAGGCTCCTAGTCTAATTCACCAGCTCCACACACTCACTCCCCTCCCTCCGCCCCCTGCCTCCTGGAACACACTCCCATGTCTTTTGTTTCTGCATTGTGTATGCTTTCCTTCTGCCTAAAAAGTGTCTTCCCAGCATCTCCTGGCACATTCATCCTCTCTCTCAGTGCTGTGTCCAGGTATATTGACCGACAAATCAAGTCATTTGGCAAATGTTCCTGGCAGGTTTGCTCTGGTTTAGGTACGATCCTAGATGCTGGTGTTGAAGAGAGCAGACGTTCCTATGGAGCACCGTCCTTGTAGGGGAGGTGGGAGACAGAGAGGGCATCAGAGAAATGGGAAAGCACTGGGGAGGGGAGAGAAGAGTGTTGCTGGGACACTCAGGTGGGTTTTTTCCTAAAGATTGCAGTGGTTATGGAGGACCGAGTAGAACTGCCGCATAAGGTTCTCAATACTGCAGTCTCTTGTCGTTGTTAGGTGCCGTCATGTTGGCTATGGAGTCTTGTCCTATCCTGCGTCGCCCTCATAGTACCTGCCAGGTTTAAGCCCATCATTGTAGTCACTGAGTCGGTCCATCTTGTTGAGAGTTTCCCTCTCCTTTGCTGAGGCCCCACTTTTCCAAGCATTATACCCTCCTCCATGGCCTGACCTCCTGGCATCATGCCCAAATTATGTGAGATGAAGTGTCGCCATCTTCCCTTCTAAGGAGCCCCTGGGTTGTGCTTCCCCGAGACAGATTTGCATGTTCTTTTGGCAGTCCGTGCCATCATTAATACTCTTTACAAACACCACAACTCAAAGGCATTGTGGCCTTGAGTAATCTTCCACCTTCTTTAATATTTGAAGAAGTAAATGACCAGAACTTCTTTCTGAAGTACAGCAAGTGGATTCGAACTGCCCACCTATCGCTTGGCAGCTGAGCACTTAACCACTGTACCAACAGTGTTCCGTTTAAGCTAGAGAACAGGTGAAAAATGACTTTTCCTTCAGAATAATTTCTATAATAATATACTTTCTTATAATCCAATCTTCCAATTGGTAAAGCAATTTTAATTCTCAGTTAAGATTTAACATTTTAATTTAGTATTCTAATTTTCATAGATTTATATAATCTATACATGCACATGATATAGATTTTATAGGTTTTTAAATGTAAAGGTTATGAGAGAAATTCAGCAGAGGGAGGGATCGGAAACTTCCGCCAAATGCCCTTTGCAAATTCTGGTGAGGAATCTAAGGAGAGAACCTAAGTTTTGAATATTATATTCCTCCAATAAAATAACTGGCTCACTTAAAAAAACAAAAAACAAACACACCAAAACCCCAAACAAACAGAGCATGCTTAGGACTGTTTCTGGGACTCTTACAGCATTTACACAGTGAAGGAGAAGGAGTGAGTGTGTGGAGACAGGGGTGGTGTGGGGACGGTGGAGGCCACCGTACGGGGTTGAATGTTGTTGTTGTTCTTGTGTGCCGTTGAGTCAGAACCAACTCATAGCTGATCATCCGGATGGTTTTCAGAGGTAGTAAGGTGCACAGAAGTTTCCCCAGTCTTCTCCTGCAAAGCAGCTAGTGGCTTCGAACCATATGGCTTTGGAATTACACTGCAGCTTCTTACTACTAGGCCATCAGAGCTCCCTCTGGGTTGTTGCTAGGTGCCATTAAGTCAAGTAGGACTCATAGTGACCCTGGAATCAACAGGCCTGAACCCAGTCCTATCCTGAATCATCGTCATCTTCTCTGACACGCTAGAGCCCGTTGTTGAAGTCACTGTGTCAGCCCATCTCACAGAGGGCCTTTCTCTCCTTCGCTGACCGTCTGTCTTTCTAAGCATTCATGTCCCCCTGAAACTGCTGAATGTGGCTCTATTTGGAAATAGGGGTTTTGCAGATATAAGTAGTTAAGGTGACATTTTATTGGTTCCGCTCAGTCACTCCCTCATTGCTGTTGAGTCAGATCCAACCCATAGCTGACCCTCCAACCCGCCTGTACACCTCACATGAGGAGATGGCCCATCTTTCTCCAGCCAAGCAGCTGATGGATTTGATCCTCCAGAGATGCTGCGTTTGGGTCTGCAGCACAACGCCCCGCACATCAGGGCCCAAGAGCGCTAAAGTGTCAAACTCGCTGCTGTTGACTCCTTTATGGCTCTGCTCAATCCGATTGCCACAGCTGTAAATATTGATGCCTACCAACCTTGACCTTCTGCAGCAAACCTATCGTGCTTAGTAGGGCTGCTGTGAGTCTCATGCAACGTGATAGCGCACAACAACAACAACGACGACGATAATGGCAGACTGACTCATCTTTCTCCTCTGGAACAGCTACTAGGTTCAAACAGCCGACCTTTCAGTTGGCAGTGCAACACTTAATCTATTATGCTGCCACAACTCTTTTGTTGGATGAGAGCACGACCTAAAGACAATTGGTGTCCTTATAAGAAGAGGAGATAATGATAGAGGATCAAGGTCAGGGGTCAGGGGTCAGGGACTGCTTCTCTGAGGCAAGCCTGACTGAAAGGAGGGAGCCAGTGAAGTAGACATCTTGGAGGACGGTTGGACAGGCAGATGGGACCAGAAGCCCTGGGACAAAGTGCCCAGAGATTCCTGGGGGTGTCTGAAGAATTGGAGGGTGGCTGCAGCGCTTGGTGGAGAAGGAGGTGAGTATGAGAGTGGGCAGGGCTGGATCATGAAGAGCTTACTGGAGCTGGGGATGGGGGGGTGGGGGCGACGGGAAGCTGCTTGAAGACTTTGAGCGGTTTCTTCAAATGACTTCTGGCTCCCATATGGGGGCGTTAGGAGTCTGATTCTGAGTGTCCTTGTTGGGTTCCTTCCTGCTTCCCTCTTATCCAGGGCCCCGACTCATTGTCCACCCTCCCCTTGGGGTGTCAAGGTCTCTGTTCCCTGCTTACTTTGATCTCAGTCAGGTGTGGACCTGATTCGGCTACTAGGACATCAGAAAGCTGGGCCAACAGCCTTGTCCTGGGCAGTCAGGCCTCGCTGGCCCATGTGAGGCCCCTTTGTCTCGGGGCCAGCACTGCTGTTTGATCAGCTTCAGTGGGGCCGGAACTGGCCTCTGACACTCGACATACAAAGGATCTCTTTGAGTGGCCAGGAAGTGACGAGCTGGGATTTATCTGCCCAGGAAGTAGTGGGACCAGGAGGGTGCCAGGGAGCATGAGCCCTGGGTCCGGTGGCATAATTACTGTTACTGTTGTCGGTCTATTGTCGCTGGTAGAAGAACATGCCCCTCTGTCTTGCTGCTCAGCTTTCCCTCTGAGTCTCCCCCACACCTCTTCTGCCCTGGGTCTCCTCACCTAAGGAGAAGGGCTGAGTCAAGGGTGCTGATGGCAGCCCACTCACGGTGTCTGAGTGCTGTCCCCACGTCCCTCAGGAAATCCTCATGACAGCTCTGTGAAGATGAGACTAATTGCTGTCCCCACTTTACAGGTGAGAAAACGAAGGCACAGCAATACTAAGTAATTGACCCAAAGTCACACAGCATGTCAGGGATGGGCTGAGATTTGGCCCATCCACGTATTCTGTGGCAATCTGCTGCCTGACACATGTTCAGCTTCCTGACTTGGGGGTGAACCATGCAAGACCTTATCCTCTAACCTTATATGTTACAGGAGCCCCATGAGAGGAGGAAGGTAGTTGCCATCACGCAGAGATGACATCCAAGACTGTTTGTGTAGCACTGAGGCCCAGGTTCAAATCCTAGCTGGTCCTCATGGAGCTGTGGTCTGTGCTGGGCTAGTATCCGGTTTAACCCTCCTGATAATCCTCTGGTAGGTGTCCTTAGTATGCTCATTGTACAGATGAAGAAATGAAGGCCCTGAGAATGTAAAGCTACTTGATCAGGGTCACAGGGCTGCTAATGTTTTAACCCAAAGGTTGCACTCCTAACCCTAATCTATGTAGCTCCATAGTACATAGGAAAATCTTCTGTTAGCACCTCTCCAGAGTGCTAAAGAGCTGCGATGTCAGTCTGGAGACTAAGGTGTGCCTGATCCAGGCCATGTCTTCACAATTACTTTCGATGCATCAGAGAGCTGGACAATGACTAATGATGACAGAAGAAGAATCGATACCTTTGAGTTGTGGTGCTGGAGAAGAATATTGAACATACCATGGACGACTAAGAAAATGAACAGGTCTGCCGTGGAGAGGGTGAAACCAAGCTGCTCCCTGGAGGCAAGGATTTTGAAGCTCTGTCTCATATACTTTGAGCAGGTTGCCAGGAGGGACCAGTCCTTGGAGAAGGACCTCATGCTCGGAAGGGTCGAGGGACAGCACAGGAGAGGAAGACCAAGAATGAGATGAATTAACATAGTAACTGGGGTAATGAAGGTAGATGTGGAGACAATGAAACTGGCTCAGGACAGGGCAGGGTTCGGAGCTATTGTGCATCGTGCTGCTGTGAGTCGCAGTCAACTTGTTGGCATGTAACAATAACCACCACAAACAACACAGTAAATAACAGGACACTTGGTTAAAATCAGTTGAAAGAAAAAAGGGTTGATCATTCTCACATAATGAGAACTCCACAGCTGGTGCAGCAACTCAGTAACAGGGTTACCAGTCGCCACTCAACTAATTTGTTTCTTTTATTATTATTATTATTATTTTAAATAAAAATTTATTTTGTACTGGTTTACTTACAAGGTTTGTATACATTGTTTTTCATACTGGATCTTTCCCATTTCCTTTACCCATCCTTCCCTCTACCCCTCAAATGACCCCACTGCTGCTAATGTGTGGTTTTGGTGTTTGCCCTTATAGTTCCCAAAGGGCGGCTGCATCTCCTGTGCTCATGCTTGCGTTCCAGGCTAAAAGACACTGGAAAGGTCAAGAGTGTCCTTGGGAGATGCTGTCTTTTTGTTTGAGAACTGGAACCTTTGCTAGCAGACTCCTACTCTTGGCCAGATGCACCTGGCTGACAGGTGGTTAGGAAAGTGAGACCCAGCATTCAGGCTCTAACGTCAAGGGAGGCAATACAGGGGGTGCGGGGTCAATGTTGAGGGTCCCACCGTCCTGCTCCGTCTTCTGCTGCGGTCTCTCCACGCGAGTCTCTTCCCTCATTTATGCCCTCTGGTGGGCAATTGAGGGAGTTCCTTTAGGTACTTTATCAGGACTGGCAGTCCCGTCAGGCCATTCAGCTTTCTGGCCTCATTTTCCACATCTATAAAATGCAGCCGTACAGTCAGCTGCCAGGAAGAGTGATGGGAGAGATTATGTGAGACAACATGGGAGGTGAAGTGTGACTAACTCTGGGAGTCCAGCTCCTGACCAGCTAGCTCATTGCTCTTATCCAGGTTTCACTTGCCCCCACGGTAAAGTGGGGACGACACACAACAACAACAAAGTGGGGATGAACCAGTCACGTCTGGGCAGTCGGATTGCTCTGAGAGTTGAGTGGAATCATGCACCAAAGCGCTTCAGTGACGGCTCTGTCCATTTCAGACGGTTTCTTGCAGATTCCTTGTCCTTGGCTTCTCATTGCTTGAGCTTCCAGTTCCAGGGACAGAGCCGGGTGATGTCTGGTCTGCACAGCTTGACTTCCTCAGTCCCTGCAGCCACGTGAGCCAGTTGAGGTCTTCATCCTGTCACCTGACCCACGCATTTGGCCCTTGCTAATTGCATGTTTCCTTGAAGTAAATGCTTCTCCCTATGCGTCACTGATTTTTTTTTCTCTTCTAGAGAACTCAGTCCTAGACACTCTGGAAGGCTTCCTGGAGGCAGATTCTGAGGAGGCCTCTTGTTCCACAGGGACGAGGTGTTTTCAGGAGGACAGTGGGGTGAAGTCTGGTTGAGAGGAGGGAGGCCCTGCTGTGACCCCTGGATCCCTTGGACAGCTCCTGCCTAGTCGTGATGGGTTGACCCCAGCACCCTTCCCACTACGGTCCCTGCTCAGCAGCTGCTCTTCCTGTTCTGCTTAGAGTCAGTGGCCACAATGGTCATTATCCCCAAGCACGACTCCTGGAAGAAGAGGGGGGCTCACTGGGTCCTGAGTTGTTCAGAAAGGGTGCAGACAAGCGCTGCCTCTTCCTCGATCTGTGCCTCACCATCCTGAAGCTCAGCCGGCTCATGAAGAGAATAGTGAGAATACTGTAGTCCCCTCCCAGCACTTCCCTATGGACATAACCCCTTAGTCTCTGTCGGAGCCTATCTTTTTAGGAGCTGGGACAGTGGAGAAAGTGTGGGTTTGCTAGTGGGTGTGCCCAACCTGCCTCATGACCACAGACAGATCTTTTACCCTCTGAGCCTCACTGAGCCCATTTCCTGGTCTGTCAAATGAAGATAAAAATAGTTCCTACCTTGAATTGGGACTCTGAATAAAGTTCCCAACTTAAGTCCCTTCCAACTCAGACATCACAGTGACTATGATTCTCAGCCTGTTCTCCAGCTGAAATGCAACTTTCAAGATGACCTTCAGTTTCTTGCTAACACGGTGCCCCAGGACAGCTGCCTGCCCTTGACCTAGAGAGGGGGACTCTCTGGGTTCCTGGGTGCAGTGCTCTCTCTGGTGGCTATTTCGGGACATTACACTGGTGGGCTGGGGATGGCTAGATTTCCTTACAGAGAAAGTGGCTTTTCTTTCCTTTTGGGGGATAAATCAAAGTAGGGTGTCTATAGTCACAGGAAAGATTTTTTTGGCCCCAAAGGTAAACCTTCCACCAACATTTGTTATTCAAGAGAAACTGAAGCCCTGGCTGCGGTTTATTCTTGTGATTTCTCCCTCTGGAGAGTTGATGAACCTTATCTCTGTAAGATGAGGGGTATCATCATTGTGTCCATTTTGTGGGTGAGGAGACGGACTCTCAGGGGGCTTCAGCATTCAGGGTGTACAGACCTCTCAGCTCTCAGGTCCTGTCCTTCCTTGGGACGCACAGCTACTGTGACCCACATACTCGGTGTTCCCTTTGTTCAGAATATCCTCTTCTTTCTTCTTTGAAGACCTGTCCTGCCTGCTCAGCTCAGCACCCTTTTAGTTTGTAAACTAACATTTTTTGAACAATTTTTAAGTTCCAGACCAGTACTAAGTTCTAACCTGTGGCCCCCGAAGCATCAGCATTACCTGGGAACTTGCTAGAAATGCTGATTCTCAGGCCCACACAGGACCTTCCGAGTCAGGAACTCAGAGCCATGGCCCAATGATCACAAGCCCCCGCCCCCCTCAGTCAAGCTTGAGAGTAGCTCATTAGACATAGTGCCACTCACTTTGAGGTACTACATTATGTATTACATTAATTAAACAAGATAGGAACTATTTTTATCACCATTTGGCAGACGAGGAAAAAAATGGAGAAGTAGAGTCACTCACCAAAATAATAAAGTCTGACCTAACTCTGAGCTGTGTCTGCGGTGCCTTCCTGGGGTTTACCAGGTGCCTCGGATGGGGTTCCTCAAGTAGCCAGCAGGGGGAGTCATTGATCTGGAACCCAGCAGCCAGGAGGAAAAGCGTGCGGGAGTGCAGTCTTAGAAGCTGGTCCAGATGCTCAGAGCTCTCCCCAAGGACTGAGCTCTGCCTATCAAAGACAGACGGTGGACTCTACCCTCCTCTCCACTAACCATGTTCCCAGTCCCTGACTGCAAAGAACTCTGGGGTGGGAATTAGAGACAACTTGGTCGAAGTATGAAAGTGGCTTTCATACGCTGTGTTTTGGGCATCTTGCTAAACCACTTTGAGACTCAAGTTTCTTCCTTTTGTAAAATAGGAATCACTGGACAGTGAACAAGGATGACAGAAGAAGAATTGATATCTTTGAGTTGTGGTGTTGGAGAAAGAGCACCAAGCATCCCATGGACGGCCAAGAGAACAAACAAGTATGTCTTGGAGGGGGTGCAGCCAGAGTGCTCTTTGGAGGCAAGGTGAAGGCTTCACTTCACATACTTTGGATATGTTGCTGGGAGGGGCTATTCCTTCGGGAAGGACATGATGCTGGGAAGGGCGGAGGGTTGACGAGGGAGAGGAAGACCCTCAACTAGGTGGATTGACATGGTGACTGCTGCAATGAGTTCTTGTGTGTCAAGAAGTATGAAGATGGCACAACAAAGAACAGCGTTCAAATCTTTTGTTCATAGGGTTGCTATGAGTTGTATTTGACTCAACAGCACCAAACAACGACACCATCCCTTCCTTGAAGATCCACTGAGAATATGCTCTAGAGAGCACCTGATTCTCTATTTTGAAGAATGAGAAAGTGAACACTTAAAAGATGCTAAATATATATGTACCTGGTGGTATAGTCTACAGCATAGTGAGCTACTAATCAAATGGATGCTCAGTTCAAATCCAGCAGTTACGAGGTAGAGAAACAGGCAGTTTCGTCTTATTGAGATCCACAGCCTTGGAAACCTGGAGGGCTGCTGTGATCAGTTGCAATGGCATGAAGGCAGTGACTTTGATTTTGAAATACGTGCTGGAGTCTGTCCATGGTTGGTACAGGTGGTTAATGTGCCGTGCTGCTAACTGAAGGGTTGGCATTCAGATCTGCCCATGCTGTGGTTGTTCTTGTGAGATGCTGTCCAGTCAACTATGACTCATAGTGGCAAAGGTACAAACACCAGATCCGACCCCTGTCCTCGCCTGCCCCATCCCTGTGATCTCCACCACACACAAGCCTATTGTTAGTCACTGTGTGAGTCCATCCATGTTGCTGTTGTTGTTAGGTGCCATCGAGTCAACTATGACTCACAGTGACCCCATGATGAGCAGCTCTGAACCTTCCCCTATCCTCTATCGTTTTCATGATCTCTTACTTGCTAAAGCTCAATGTCACAGTCACCATGTCAATTCATCTTGGGGAGGTCTTCCTCTCTTCCTCTAAGTTTCCACCTTTCCCAACATATGTTGTTGTTGTCAGGTGTCACTGAGTCGACTATGACTCATAGTGACCCTATGGACAACAGATCTGAGCTGTGCCCTACATCCTGTACCATCCTAACCGTCTCTGTTACACTTAAGCCTATTGTTAGAGTCACTATGTCAATCCATTTAGTTGAGGGTCTTCTTCTCTTTCATGGACCCTTCACCTTTCCAAATACGATATCGTTTCCCAAGGACTGGCCTCACCTAACAGCATGCCAACATATGTGAGAAGAAGTCCCACCATCCTGGCCTCTGAAGAGCACCCTGGTTGCACTTTCTCCTTGTGTGCCCTCTAGAGAGCCCATAGGAGAGTGAGCATTGATAACCCAGTGGAGTGGAGTTTCCCTCTGACACACTCCGGGTCACCATGGGTCAGAGCTGACTTGACAGCAGCAACTAGAAAGAAAATGTTTGGTGTTTTCAGTGTGGAATTCTCATTTTATGTCAACACTGAGAAGTTAAGGATATTATTCCCATTTCACAGATGAGGGAACAGAACTTGGAGAAGATAAGTGAGTTAGTTGCTTAAGCTTATACAACCAGAAAATGGCAAAGCCAAGCTTTTAACCCTAGTTCTCTCTCTTCTCCTAGGCAGACAACCAAAAAGTGGCTGGTGCGGGCTAAGGGAGGCCTGGGGGAAGAGGAAGCAGAGTGGCCTGTCCTTTCTCCCTCCCTCCTTTCGGCTGCCTGATTTGATCTTGGCTCCACCACTTTCTAGCTATGTCCTCAAGCAGAGCTCTCTCAAGCATGAAACAGCAACAACAACAACAACTCAAACAAAGCCCCAAAAGCTTTTGGCAGGTCATTCCACCTCTGTGAACCTCTCATGTTGTCTCAAGTATACAGTAGAGATTAAAAAGTCCTGATTTATCCAGGATTATCTCAGCAGAAACACAACCAAAATCAAAGATCCTCAGAAGTGAGGATGGTGAGCTTTGATTCACTGACATTAAGAAAGAACAGTCACTAGAGAAAAGGCCCAGTTAGTGAAGAAAACGGTTAGTCAATGAAGTAGAGGGTCAGTGAGATATGTGAATGGGATAACACGGAGATGGCTCAGGACGGGACAACGTCTTGTTCTGTTGTACATAAGAAGTTAGAATCAACTTAGTGATAGCTAACAAAAGCAGTACTTAAGATTTCAGTGATGGAAGCACATGTCCTGGCTCACAGCATGTGAAATCCTGGGGTAGGAGTGATGTGGGTACCT